TGTACCACATCTTCTTTATCCATTCATCTGATGGACACTTAGGTTGCTTCTATTTCTCAGCTATTGTGAATAGTGCTGCAATAAACATAGGGGTCATCCACTTTCTTAACAGAAACATGAAGTTGGAAAACAGACTGAGCAAAGAATTCTTTGAAGATAATTTTTACTCCTAATTTTGAAGTCATTCCCAACTAGTTGTTAATTAAGAATATTAATAAAGATATTTGTACCTATTCAGGATATCAGTAAAATATAGCTTTACCCATCACTTCTCACAGAGGTACTAGAGATGTGTCCCACCAAAAGGAGAGAGTAAACCAAGAAAATGGGAGAGTTGGGATCCTGGAAATAGAAGGATGCAGAAGGCATTCTCAAGATGTTGGTGGGGTTTCAGGGCATCAGCTCTACAACACATCCATTGCTGACATGAGCAAACTGAAGCAGAGACAAGAAATCTCAGAAGGAAGGTCGGCTTTGCATGTGAAAAGGCATAGAACTGACAGATTATCTGTGTTTTGGTCATATGAAAAATTAAATTGAAAGAGTGTAGGGAATGCTGGAAGAATTACTGAAGAATATGAAGAAAACTATGGAGATAAAAACAGAGGCACCTAGCAACTCCAGGAAAACACAAAAGTTGTGTAAGAAAGGAGTCATAAAAATGGTATGTGCACATATGTTGGTATGTGTAAATGACCAAAAATTGTTCTGCTGTTGGGAAATTATGGGAGAGTGAGCACAGGGTTGGCAGTGATGATTTAAAAAATGAAAATTACTCATCTTTGTATGAGGAAGTCAACAAAGTGATATCTAAAGTTGATAGGGAATATTATAAGCAGCTTATTTAGAAACCTGGAAGTCAATGCCAGGGAACACTGCCAATAGTAAAAAACATTCAAAGTTTTGAAAGTGATTGCTTTGGGAAGTAGAAAGGAGTGTAGATGGTGCTAAAAATCTTGGAATTAAATACGGAGTCTTTTGTCTCACCTGTATTGTACCTTTTAAAACTATGTGCCTGTATTACTTTGAAAAGAATAAAAATGGTTAGGAATTGAAAATGTATAGGAGGATATACCTCCTGTACACAAATATACTATATATATTCCTCTGTGTGTGTGTATATATATATGCACACATATATACTATATATATGCTATATAATACATATACTATAAAATATATTCTGTATATAATATAAAGTATATCTGTTACATAGTATACATATATATAGCATTCTCCACAAACTTTTAATTCAGTTTTTCACATGACCAAAACTGTATATGTGAAACACATATTTCATATAGTACATATGTACCTATTAAATATACTGTATATTTACATATATAGTATATATACATTATTGTGTGTGTATGTATATATACACATATACATGTGTAGATAATAGAACTTCCAGTAGAGTAGCCTTGGCCGTGTGGATGTTTGGGCCTGACAGCCCTTTGGGAGAATCTGTAGGATGTTGAGCCAGCATCTGTGGTCTCACTAGATGCCAGGAGCATTCTTCCCCGAGTCTTGGCATGTAAGCATTGTCCCTCCACGCTGCCCAGTGTCCCCTGGGGGGCAAAAACCATTTGAGAACCACGGATGTATAAAGGATTTAAAACCGCTACTGAATGAATCATCTCACTGTATAAAAGTGCCGCTCGGTATCCGTGAGGCAGGAAGCGCCGGCCTCACCACGCAGAACCTGGGCCCCGCGGCAGGTGGAGCGGCTCGGAAGTCCCGGCACGCTCGTTTCCCTGCCCTTTCCTCAGGCCAGCCCCTGGCGTAGCCCCTGGCGCTCGGCAGGCTCAGTCAGGGCTCTCTGAAGGAAGAAAGACTCGAAACGCAGCTTCTCTGTCATGCTCCCTGGCTTCTGAAAACATTCTAGGTTTTTTGGTCGTTTTGATGATTGGCACAGCTTGAATTTCTTTCAAGTGGAAATGTTAATCATTACGGCCACCTTGGAAAAATACTGCACCGTTTGGCGACCTACCTGTGCTCAGCGGGCTGCAGGACAGACAGGTGCATACCTTCTGTCCCCCTCCCTCTGGCGTCCTCTGGCACGTTTTCTTGGTTCCGTTCGTTCCGAGTGTTTCTCAGAATTTACAAAGGAAGGCAGCAGGAAAATGGCTCCTCCAAATTTTTTATGTGGATGAAACCTCATAAATATTTTAATATTCTCATTTCACAGCTGAGGAATCTCTGGTCCAGAGAGAATTTCGTATAATTAATTAGGAGCAAAGTGAGGCCTCTTCTTTTTTTTTTTTTTTTTTTAACTTTTTCCTCTTTTAATACAGTGTACGTGCACAGTAGTGGTTGGGATGAGGACGGAGAGGAGCAGAGATGCAGGTCAGGCCTCGGCGAGCTGTCAGCATTTTTGCGGGGGGAGGGCCCAGCGGGAGCGGGAGTCCGCGAGGTAGACGAGAGGAAAAGGAGGGAGGCATCGGGGTGCTGGTGGGCTTTTCATGAGATTCCCACTGTACCACTCGGGGCCGGGAGCTGGCGCGGTGCAGGAGCAAGGGCTGAGGAAAGGCTCTGACTGCCCCGTGCCCCCCTGCACCCCCGCCATATGGTTCAGCAGATAAAGCCGGCCCCTGGCTCCTGCTTGGGGGGAAGTCAGGCTGTGCAGTGTTCTGGAGCCCCTGCTGGGAGTGGGCCATCTTTGGGGTCACTTTGCCCCAGGGCCCCTTCTTGCCTTGGCTGGGTGGGGCAGCCCCCATTTGATGCCTCCAGCAGCCCTCAAGCTGCACCGCCTCTCTCTCCTGCCTCCCCTTGTCTGCCTCCTCCCTGTCTCCAACCACAGATTAAGGAGGTGACGTGATGAGATATCGAAGACCTGAACGGACCAGCCAGAGGACTCAAGGTGTAACAGCTCAAGATTAATGCCAAGAAGGCACTCCTCATATTTATTGAGTAAATGAACATCTGAAGAAATCTGATTAGGGGGTTCAGCACATGATCATTATCTGTCTTTGAGTCCAGCCCAAAGATGGGACACTCAAGGACACCGAAACCATGTGAGGCTGGTCATGAGCTGTAGGAGCTTTTTATGGCTTTAATCACTCTGTTCTTGACCAAACATCAGAGGTTGTAGAAGAGACAATCAAGTCACATATCTTCATACATTTGATTTCTATATTACTTGATGTATATATTAAGCCCATTAATCCCACATTGTCTGACTTCTCAGGCCAACAGGAGCACCACCTCCTCCAGGAAGGCCCTCTGGATTTGTTCTGCATGATCCGCACACAAGTAGAAATTGATTCCTTGATACCCCTTTCACAGCAGCAGTGATTTGCTGGCCGCTCCCTGACTTTGGGGAGATGTCTGTCACTAGAAGCCAAGGATGGCACACTACCGCGGATTTCCTCTCACCTCACTGCGCGCTCCCCATCTCATCGGCCAAGTGCTTCTGTCAGGGGTCCCTCCATCCTTGGCTTACAGTCTTCCATCCCATGGTCCTCAAGAGGTGATGGTGCCCTACAGGGGACACTTGGTAATGTCTGGAGTCAGTTTTGGTTGTCACGCCCGAGGGATGGTGGGGGGCCGGATTGCCACCCGCATCTAGTGGGTGGAGCCCGGGGCCGCTGCTCAGCATCCTGCAGTACGCAGGGTGGCCCGGGACACCTGCGATCCAAGCAGCAGCAGGGTCCGGCGCGGGAAACCGTGCTTCAGACACTCCCATCCTGCTCGTAGCTTTATACATGGGGTCATAGGATGCCTCCAGATTTTGTCACTGTGACCTCTCCGCCTACTTTCTCTGACTTGTGTATTTAACTACCTAGTTAACAATCCACTTGGAGATGGAATGGGTATTTCGAAAGTTAAAACTTAACAGGAGTCTTGATGCCTCCTCTGCATACCAGGAAATGGCACCACCTTCCAAGCTGCGGCTCGGGCTCTAAACCTGGAAGGGGTCCTGCTTCGTTCTCTCCCCCTTCCCCCCTTCACACACGCACTCCACTCGGGAGCACTCCGGTCTCCCTGTCAGTGTTGCAGAGCCTTGCACACTGTCTCCGTTCTGTCCCATCTCCTTGGTCGCCCTGTGCGGCAATGCATTTCTCTGCTGAGCAAGAGCCTCTCTGGATTTTGTGCTAAGTACAGGGGTAGCCCTTGAAGAGTTTTTAAGGCAAAGGGTCATCAGGGTCTTTTCCCCAGTAAGTCTACTGCTGGGTGACGATTAGGGTGCAGTGGGGCATGTATAGGATCAAACTCCTTTCCACGGGTTGCAGTGACCTCTGGGATCTGCCATCACTTACTTCTGCTGCCCAGCCCGCTGTACATCCTCCCTCTCATCAGGGTCATTCTGACCCCAGGACGTCTGCTGTGTCTGCAGCCTGGCCCCATTCAAGCACTCCCTCCTCAGGGGGCTCTTCCCTAGCCTCCCATGTAAAGTAGACTCCTTGCCCTTAGTCTCTTGCTCTTCCACTGCCCACTTGTTGAATTATTTCTCTCATCTTAAATTATCTTACTGTGCATTTGCTTATGAGTTTACTGGCCGTGCTGTCCATCACCACGCTCCGCTCTCACTGTCAGGCTAGGTAAATTCCATAAGACTGGAGACCGTATGTGTCCTAATACCAAAGCTGCGTCGGGCGCCGTTTCCATTTTCCACAAGACAGTATGAGGAGTTATTGTCAGTAAATGTTGGCTGAGTTGCATTCAGTCTCTAAATACCTGTGTTTCCAGTTAGCATGCTTTAGGGAGTATAGAGAAATGTGTCTTACGGTTGAAGCTGAGTAGATTTTTCGTTTACTGAAAGGTTCTGAGATAGTGAAAGTTTTGAACGGTTGTGTGAGCAACCTCATTGTACGCTTCAAAAAGGCATGGAAGCCTGAAATTCACCCATGAGGGTTGTCCACCTTTGACGTAGTTACTGTTTCAGCTTTATAATGCCCCCTATTGAGACATCTGCCTGCCTGTGGAATGGTTGAGAATGTACTGCAAGATGTTTTTGTTGACATTTTTGCCTTACTTTGGGTATTTTTTGTTAACAGGTAACTGGAGATAAAAAACAGACCTAAAAATAAACCCTAGAAGGAAGAAAGTATTTACCTACATTTGGCTCTGAGTAAGTACAATTGTAAAATGTGTTTCTTATTATGTAATGAATATCTTGTCAACCTCTCAGTATTTTCTGTGCTTAAAAATTGTATTTTACTATATGGCTGCATGTACGTACTGGAAACAGATTTCTCAAGATTTCTTATAATAGGTGATTTTTCTAGCAAAGAAATTCTGTATATCAACACGGGCACTTCATAACCCTTTTATTTTGCTTCTAATAGTCAGAAATTTCAGGCAAGAGAAGTGGAGATGATTATTAAAATTTGTGCTCTTTCCTATATATGGGTGAGGTACTTACTTCCGCAGAAGGTGGATTTATAGCAGACACAATGGTTTTGGGCTCTTGTCTGTCACAGGCTCCGTTTGTCATCTTTGTTCCTGTAGGAATCTGACAGGCAGCATGTCCCCACTTGTGGACCAGCTAGCGTGTTTCATTAGACCTTATTTGGGCCCCATCCTGAGCATAAGGCGTGGAATGGAGGCCTCAAGGGAGGCATTTTTCTTCAGCCTGAGCCGTTTGTGACTGTTGTCAGAGAAGAGACTGTCCAGGGTCACTTAGAATGGGGCCTCTGAGGTCTGGAGCCCCGTCTGTCTTGGCTGCTGCCTTTGTCCCGATATACGAGGAGGCCTGATCCCTCCTGAATTGGGAGCATCCTTTTCAGACTGCTCTGTATGACAAATCTTCTATTTCTCAGATGACCATTCTTTGAATCTGTTACTTCTAGAGTGTTGTGGAGTGGACAGAGATTTGTGAGATGGGTCTTGTGTTTGGGGGTAAGGCATTACAAGTGGCATAAGTAGGGACCCACAAGCCCATGTGTGGCCGGCTGTCCCTAGTGCCCATGCCCCTGCTGAGGGCATTCCTGTCGGAAGGAGACTCCAGTGGCTTTGGGAGTGGCTGGAATTTCCATCTCTGCTGAAGAAGTACGTTCTAGTTGGGGAGCTCTGTGGGCAAAAGTGGGAATCCAGGTATAGGGAAGCTTTATTTTTTTAGGGAAAAGTTGATAAAGCAGCCTGGGGGAATAAAAGGAGGGAGTGGTGGGAGACCAGAAAGGGCATAGGGAAAGGGCAGGGGCTTTGAGTTGATCCTGTGGAGCTGCTGTCTTCGTCTGCCTGGACACCCCTGAGGGACACACCCCATTCATAATGGAGGTACAACCAAAGGCAACTCTACAACCAGCCCCCACAGGTGAAGAAAGAACAGTAAATCACAGCAAAGACTCGAATAGCACTGTGCCAGGCACTGCCATTGTTTGCAGACAACTTTACTGACGGGTAAATTGACAGTTCACTCATTGGAAGTGTACAATTTCGTGATATTTGTACATTTACAGAGTTGTGCACCCGTCAGCATGATCCATATAAAGCATTGCATCAGTTCCAGGGGAGGCTCGTCCCCACGCAGGCAGCCACTCGCCGCTCCTGCCTGCTCTCCCCAGCCTCTGCCGACCATGAGTCTGTTCTCTGTGTCCGTGGATTTGCCTGTTCTGGGTGTCTCACATAAATGAAATCCCCCAGTTGATGTCCTTGGCAACCAGGTTCTCTTACTCACGGTGATGTTTCCCAGGCCCCTCCGTGCCGGAGCCTGTATCGGCATTTTGTTCCTTTTTATTGTCAAATAGTATTCCATGGTATGAATAGACCACATTTTGTTTATCTGTCCCTCAATCAGACACTGTTACTTTTGAAGGCTTCTATTTTGAAATAATGTTAGACTCACAACAAATTGCAGTAATAGTATAGTGAGTTCCAGAGTAGGCCCCCTGTCTCTTACGTGGGGGCAATAATGGACTATCAAAGCTGGGAGATTAACACTGGTGCTGTTGACACAAACCTTACCTGGATCTCACCAGTTTTCATGTGCACCTGTGCCTGTGTGTGGCTTTATGTGACATTTTCACATGCACAGATTTGGTGCAGAACTGTTCCATCCCCCAGGAAAGCTCCCCGTGCTGCTCCTTTATGGTCACCTTCTCTAGCCCTCGGCAGCCACTGGCTTCTCTATCTTTAATTGTGTTATTTCAAGAATGTCACATAAATGGGATCATACGGCAGGTGGCCTTTGACACTGCCTTTATTCACTCAGCCCAAAGCCCTTGAGATGTATGCAGCCTGCTGTGTGTACCGACAGCTTGTGCCTTGTCGATGCCATGGTAGTAGGTCCTGGCGGGGGTCTGCCCACAGGGTAACCCTTCCCTGGCTGAAGGGCCAGTGGGAGCTTTCCAGTCTCGGGCCGTTACAGGTAGACCTGCTGTGAACATGTAGGCAGATTTTGAACCACACACTGTGTCAAGCCCACATTTATTTCTCATGGAGTGGGTGGGGTTGGTGCCCTTGTGGCCTCTGTTGTGCAGACAGACACTGGCACAGCTGGTATGGGGCCTGGGATTGCAGGGTTGCATCGCCCACAAAGCTGACTGCAGGGATTGATTCCCTGCACCCTTTTGCTGGTTGGGGCCCCTCAGAGGCACTGCAGTGATGATGCAGGAGGTGCAGTGATGGCACTGGGCTTCCCCACCTCAGGACCCTGTGCCGGCCTGAGCTGTGGCTGCACAGATTGGAGCGGGAGACCCCTGCCAGATGAGGCACAGTGACAGCTCGGGCAGGGCTGTAAGCACGCCCCTGGGGAGGGCCCCACCAGATCCCGTACTGCAGTGCTCCCCTGGGAGGACCGTGTGTGTGACAGGGTGATGCAGAGTCAATACAAGGCACCCTCCAGGGCCCTCCACAGCAGGACATCAGGGCCTGGAGGTGTCCTTGGTCAGAAAGCCTGGCGGCATCATCAGTTTTCAGCGGGACGTTGGAGAGCATGGTGGTGGCAGCAGCGGCCCTCAGGGTGACTGGACTCAAACCCAGCGGTGCATCGGCTGTGTGCGCATTGCTGCAGGGACCGCCTGCACCCTCGCCAGGGGCAGGCTGTCGCCCACGTGTCCCCAGAGCTGCCCTCAGAGGGACCGGGTTGTTTCCATCAGGGCCTTATCTGATGGGAGCAGCGGGGACTGGAGTGGCTGTGGAACTGTGGCACTGCTGGTGAGTGCCAGCTCTGGCTTCACCTCCCGCTTCCATGGCCTGTGCCTTCTGGGAACCCCGAGGTGCTCTGTGGTGGCTTTTGGGCTGCGTTCTTTGCCCAGTGTGGGTGGGTGCTGGGGTTGGCTGCTGTTTATTCCAGATGTGTGTCTTCTGCTTTGTCATTTGTCTCTGGTTGCTGTCCTTTTTGGGGTCTAAGTAACTGGGATGGCCAGTTCTTACCAATTCCTTGTATTCATAAAATCCAAGGAGGGGGCAAGTTGTCATCCAGAGGAGCCGTGAGTCCAGGAGAAGGGGTGCGTGCCCCAGGGCCTGAGGAGTTAGAGGAGATCAGACCTGGCCACTGTGGTTGGGACTAACAGGGACTCTGTTCCTCCCCACCTGCACAGTCACGTGTCAGAGCAGACCGCTTGTGGGGTTTTTTGCACCAAACTGGTGAAGGGGCTCCTAGGTTGGGTACAGGGCCTGGCCTGGGGTGTGGTGCGGCCGTGGGGTGTTGTTAATCTGTCTTGTCAAAGGTAATGAAGCTTTATGGGCATCCTCAAAACCCTAGCTTGTTGGTGTAGACCCGAGTTCCCTGTGGATAATCCCACAGACCCAGTGCTTTGCTGGGCTCCAGCCGTTGCCGAGTCCCCAACCAAGGGCTGCCTTCTCACACGGTTGAGCCCTTTCCCCCCCTTCCAGTCTGCAGGTCCTGTTTATTCCGTGCTCTTTTCTTGCAAACCACATTGGCATTCAGCTGCTTCAATACCCGGAGCACTCCCGTGGAGCCCAAGCCCTGCTCCAGGCGGTCAGGATGGCGCCTTGCTTCCGAGAAGCTGGCTCACCTTCGCTCTGCAGCACAGGCGGGCTGGGACCGTGATGGCGGCAGTGTACCCCCTTCCCAACTACCAGATGCAGGGTCTAGTGACTTTGCTCAGGATGGGATTGGACTCACGTGGACGTTAGTTAAGTTCTCGATTAAATTCGGGAATAACTCGAAGTCGGCTACAGATTCTGCGTGTCAGATGGTCACCGAGTGGCTTGAAAACAGTGAAAGAATTCTCGTGTCTGGCATTTTTCACCTCTCTGGCTCTTAGGCCGAATGTTGCTTTCCTTAACGTTTCCTTTCTGTTTTCTTTTCTCAGCTGTCTCTGTCTGAGTTTAGGACAGTGGTTCTCAACTGGGGTGATCTCCACCCCCAGGGGACACTTGGGAAAGCCTAGAGGCATATTTGATTGTCAGGACTTGGGTGTGTATGTGTGAGATCCTGACATGCATGGGGGAAGGCAGGGTGCTGCTGACATCCTAACACTGCCCTCCCTGCCCCTCCCATGCCAGGGAATTATCTGGCCCCAGATGTCAATAGTCTTGAGATTGGCTGACTTGGGATATGGCCAGAAGCTTTGCACATATAAAATACTGTCCTCTGTCGTCTGATAGTTCAGCGCCCATCGGCATTGGGTAGGGAGTGCTGTGTAAGGAACCACTGTAGGTGCTTTCGATCTTCCTACAGTGACTCCACTATTCAGTGTGACTATGAATTTGGAGAAGAATAAGGCTGTAGACCTGGATTTCTATCCTGAAATTATATATTAAGATGTATATATATTGACAGTATGATCATACATGAAATTTACAGGCATCAATCCAGCTTAACTTCAATTAATTTGTAGTCTATGAGAAAGGAAAATAATCTGCACAGTTTTTTTAATGGTCACTAGGAATTCTGAATTTTATTGTTTAGAATAATTGTGGAATTCTTCAAATTTCCAACCTTCATAAAACACCCCAAAACACAATTAGAAAAATGTTAAGGAAACCCCCAACATGGAAACAGTCCCTGAAGAAAAGACTGTAATTGAAATATCATGCCTTAATACCCATTTAGGTCAGATTTACAAAGGATTCTTTTTGCTGTTGTAAATATACAGAGCATACAATTCACCATTTTAAAGTGTATAGTTCAGTGTCGTTAGGTACACTCACGCTCTTGTA